TGCCAACAATGAATGTGTCATCCGTTTGCAAGGCCGCGATGCCAAACAGGTCCTTGTCGGCGATGTTGTTTGCCGTGATCAGAAGGCACGGGTCAAACGAAGAGGTTTCCATATTAAGCTTGCGGCAGTGATGGTCGTGATATGTGTTGAACCAGTGGGCTCCTGCCTCTGCGATGCCATATAGCGGCTTCACGATTCGCAGGATTGTTCCCTCTGGATATCTTCTTTTGAGTTCTTGAGGAAGGGCTGCAAGGATGACACGGGCCAGCTTGGTCTGGGATTGTGTGTATGCCATCGTGATGTCTCTGATCATGATGAACATATCCCGTGTGCAGAGAAACGGTGCTAAGGCCAAGGCCACGCGTTGTGCGGGCCGGCTGATGGTAGGGCTTGTGTGAGGATCCCACGTTTCCCATCATCATTGTATCCTTGCACAACGAGGCGTGATTTCTCGTATGGCGTTGCAGTATTTCTTCCCTTAACCTCTCTGACCATTCGTGATTTGAAGACACGATATCCACCATGTTTATTCGCATCGAATTCTTCGGGTACAATGACCCCAGCGGCGAGGAGGTTCGTGAGCTCGAGTGTGTCGGAAGCTTCAAATGGGAAACCGGTGCTTGTGATCTTTCCTTCAGCTCGTAGCCGCTTGGCTAGGCCGAGATGTTCCATTTCTTTTCGAACAAGAAACGCATTAGCTTCATGATGAACGATAAATTGAACGGGTGAGCAAACAATAGTGGATTCTGATGTGCCATTTTGTGCAGCATCCTTCCTAGGTCGGCCACGCCTGCGCGGCCTCTTTGGCTCAGGGTATTCGAAAGGTTTGGGTTGGTCTTCTGTGGTAGGAAGAGGAAGAGGTTGTTGAGTTGTGGGTGGAAGGGAAGAGGGTTTTGAAGAGGATGTTGTTGATCGGATTGTGTTGAGGAAGGAGTGATTGTTGTGTTGATGGGTCTGTGCGGCTAGGGCTAGGGTCGGGTTGCAACTGAGGAAGGAGCGATTCCGGGTGACGATAGTACGGTTGGACGCATGTACTGCGAAATTTCGCTGGTCCGTTGTCCAGGTCAACTGCGATTTCCGTATCCGTCACCTCGAGCACTTTATATGGGCCTTGCCATCCGTGCTTCTCGCGAAATACGCGAACTTCGCTTCCTAGCGCCAGGGATAGGGCAGGCGCAACGCTGTATCAGGCCCATTACGCGTATTTAACGCGGTCTGAACCTTCCTCTGGGCGTTGATCTTCCTCAGCTCTGACATCGTTCGCCACACCGCCTTAGCTCTTGCCATTGCGGAAGGTGTAGGCGGCGAATCCATCGTCATTCGAGGCAGAGCACCGAAGACGAGGAGGGTTGGAACGAGGCCATCCGGACCGGCTGTGTCGTTGACAGCCTTGAAAGCCATTTGAAGGACTTGATCAGGGCTCACGGTATCCTTCAGCTCTGCCTTTAATATATCATATGCTCTTCGGACGGGCACATGATACTTCTCAACCTTCCCAACAGCCCAATGTGCTTCCACAGGCACCTGATGACACGTTATTCCCATCAATTTCGCTTCTGCTTGGAACTCGGCAGCAGCGAAATTCGTGCCTGCGTCATGAGTGATCACATCGGGTGGTCCAAGGTATGTATCCATCCAACATTGTTTCAACGCGAGCCACGTTTCCTTGGCCGTCATGTTGGATAGGAATCTCCTGCCTGATAGGCAGTGGCTTGATCAACAACATGGAGGACTGGTCTGCCACCCAATGTCATGACATCAACGATGACTTCGTAATTGAAGTCACAATCATCCTTCAAGCTGAACTTGAACCTTCGTGGCGGGTCGGATTTCATCTGACAGTAGTGGCAGAACTTCTTGATCATTTCCAGAGCTTCGATTTCCACATCATGGCCAGCCGAATTCAGCAGCTTGTGCAGCCGATACACGGATGGATGACCAAAACGCGTGTGGAGGCGCCGCAATTCAGCCTCCGTGAGATATGCCACTGATGCCTCTTGTTTCCGCAAGAAGAACCACGCGTGACCCCATCTTCGAATCACTGGAACGCTCACACCATTGCCAACGAGCTCGTTCGTGACGTTATTTAAATATACGCCGAGCCGATCCATATCAGCTAGGCATAGGAGGAATGGCGTTGGCACGTTGACTATATGAAAATCAACCTCTCCCACTGGTGTGTTCAAGGTGATCACGCCAAGTGGTGTTTCCAATCTTCCTGCACCAAATCTAACTGGTTCGGGCTTGCGATCATCACGGAATTGGACTGGGGGCATCTCTCGTTGGAGAGCACGCAGTTGTTCGATTCCTCCCGTCGATATGCATGCCGCACCTGTGTCCGGCATGATTCCTTGGAACGAGTCTTGAGAGTAACGATCTAGTATGAATTGTGTGGGTTCGTCACTGTTGAATAACTTGATGCCTACTGGAGATCCGATGATGGAAAGCTTCGTTGGACAGAAGGTCGCAGCAGCGTAGAACGATTCATAAGGGTCAGAGGAGTCAGAATCGTCGGATTCCTCGGTGCTCGAGTCATCCTGATCCTGTGATTCCTTCATAGTCAGCCAAGAACATAGCATACGAACGAGATTGACCGTGGAAGCCTCTCTCTCGTAGATACTTCTCTTTGGCTGCTTTTCTCTCGTTTTCAGGATGTCTCGTTGAGAAACAACCTTCCTTGCCGCAAACGTAGCATTTCTTCTTCCAATTTGGCTGACGCCTTTGTGATTGACCTCTTGTTCCGCCGGAATTTCGCTGAAATTTGCGATCCACGAAGTGCTGATCATGTCCTCTATCCAGGTCTTGGGGATATTGGCCACTGGGTTGTTCAGATCGTTCATCTTGCATGGCAGATAGCGATGATCGAAGCTGTGATGCCAATCCCTCAAATGTAGGTGCGGGAGAGTATATCGCGAGTCGGAATTCAGGCACACCACGGCACGCCCTGAGCGTTGCATCGATCAGGCCACCTTCGCCGCCAGACTTATCCCCGAGTGCTCTCCTACAGAGCCGCAATTTCGTAAGAAGGGCCTGGAGGACCTCGTCAGATGACTTACCGGGCATCTCAGCCCGAAGTCGGCTGAAGGTGAGGGTGCTCCAGTGGGTATGATACATCTTCTGGTTGATTTCGGTGTCAAAGTGCTCTTTCATCTTCTGATACATCTCAGCGAAGGTTAAATCAGTGCTGATTTCGTGTAGAAAGAAGGACTGAGCTTCCTTGGCCAGAATCGAAGGAAAACACCATGGAATTTAGACGGAGGAATGTTTGCTTGACGGCACACGCTCATGAATTTCCGGATCTTGTCATCGAAGATATCGTATGGTTCGCCGGTATAGGCTAGTTTCTTGTCCCATATCTTAATGAATCTAATCGTGAGATCGGCCTCAACTTCCTCGTTCTCGAATCGAACAGGTGGAATGCTCGTGTATGCATCTCGGAAGTTGGTAGTCCGTACGGGGAGCGTCTGCTGATACCGAGGGATTCGCGCCATTGATGCTGAGGCTCTTGCTGAGCGGGTTGATGGGTCTCAATGATCTGAGGGATTCCGGTTCCGCCGGTCGGGTAATAGTTGGCTGCTGGATTACTACCGGTGCCGGTGACGATATAGCCGCTTTAACAGTTCCTTGGAGCAGCTTCTGTTTCACCTTATATGCCACGGTGTTTTCAGCAACCTCTTGACCAAGCAACTCGTTCTCATCCCATTCAGGAAGTTCGTTACTTGTTAGAAGGCCACATAAAGCTCGAGAGATGCTAGAGTTGGCCTTGCCCATATAGATCCCCCTAATTCTGAGAAGCGTCCGGAGTCTTGATCTAAGGCGTGGGTTGATTAGTTCGAAGTCATCATAGCTCCATCCCGTGAAGTCGTTATACAGATCCCCAAGCAGGGCAATTCCGTGGTTACGTTTATCCACCGTGTATGTTGCCACACAGCCTAAGAAGAAGCTGTTGCGGTGGACAGGGAGGAGCTTTGGGTGATAGGTTCGTTGAGGAAATCCGCGTCGAAATGCCTGATCGGGAGTGAAGGGCTCCACGATCGTCAGGTTCCGTTCAACGAGTTGCCTGTCTTCGAGAGACACGTTGGCCGGGGTATCCTGGGCTGTTGCCGGGGCTAGTGCGGCAGATGAATTGTCAGACATATTGACAGGCTGTGTGCTGAGAAACAGGGCACAGGGTGTCAATGAGGTTATCAATGTGCGATAGGGCACGCCTAAGGGTCGCTGATGACAGCAAAGCTTAGGCACGGTTGGATAACTAGAGTGGGCTCTGATGCAGAGTCTTCGTAGCAATCCGCGCGTTGTAGCAACTATCCTACCGTCAGGAGCTCGCTTTGCAGAGCGTGACGATAGGTTAGCTCTCTTCCGTCTTGCTGTTCTGTGTCACCTTTGCCGGGCGACACTGATCAGTGTGGACAGGCTCTTCACTGCAGTGAGGTTATTCGAACTGGTTCAATTGGTTATATCTTGTGTAACTAGGGAAACGTGTCCCATACAAACTGTGTGCAAAGACCTTCCTCCCTGTGTCTCACCTCTTACTCGCACGTGACTAGCGCGGTCGATTAGTTATACGTGCGCGATCGGTGCCTAGTGCACAGGTGGATCCAACATCCCCTCCTTTTATTTCCTCTCAGCGAGCCCTCGGTTCCCCGTCCCACAATGCGTGCTTGTAGAACTTGGAGCTTGATGACCTTCCCTTCACCTTATTAACTTGTGGTATATGCCCTACTGGTATCTCTTTCTTCTCAGTTATCCTTTCTTCTCCTGCTATAGTACGCACCGGTGAGGGCCACACGGTGTCCTTTTCTCTCCAGTTTATTTCGTGGCACCCATAGATGCACACCTCCAAAGTCGTTCTACCAGTGCGGCCATCTGAAAACGCAACAACACAGATACGACCTGCAACATCATATACACAGAAACACGTAAACACGACCGCATATTACACCTCAACTACCGCTAGCATAGCTTCGAAGCAAAAACAAGGAAAACCAGGCCGCCTCGAAATGCACGCCAACATAACTCCGGCGGTGGTCGAGCACAACGGCAACGGCCAACTTGGCTCCGAGAACCAGGCCACTAATCGCAGCAAAGGCCCAGTATCAGTGTCTGCCTTCAAGGATCTAGGCTTTCTCGATCGCTACCTGGCGGTTTGGATCTTCTTGGCGATGGCCATCGGCATCATTTTAGGCAACTTCGTCCCGGAGATGGGTCCCACCCTACAGAGGGGCAAGTTTGTTGGCGTGTCGGTGCCAATTGGTATGTCCCCGTCTCGACTTTCGAAGGCAAATTCGACCGGGCGCAGTGCTTTGGGCTAAAAATACCGTTTTCCCACTACAGCCGTTGGTTTACTCGTTATGATGTACCCAATCCTGTGTAAGGTGCGCTATGAAGCGCTACACAAACTCTTGTCGCAAAGGGGAATGTGGAAGCAGATATGCTTTAGCATATTGGTGAACTGGATTCTCGCGCCTTTTCTCATGGTAAGTGTGTAGAGAGAACCGTGAGAAGACCCCCGAGTATTGGCCAACATTCGTACGACCGACCAGCTTGGCCTCGCCTGGGCTTTCCTTCCAGACAAGAGCGATCTTCGCATCGGCCTCATACTCGTCGGACTCGGGAGATGTATTGCCATGGTTAGGGCCTTCCCTTTCCCCCGAATCGTCAAGTGGTTGATACTGACTCGGTTCGTCCCTTAGGTTCTCATCTGGAATGGCCTTGCCGGCGGAGACGACGAGTATTGCGCCATCCTCGTCGCCATCAACTCGCTGCTGCAAATGGTTCTCTTCGCGCCGCTTGCCGTCTTCTTAATCCGCGTCATCGGTGGGGAGCCGGGCACCTTCGACATATCCTACGAAGTCGTCGCCACCAGCGTGGCCGTCTTTCTTGGCATCCCGCTCGGAGCCGCTGCCGTAACGCGGTTTGTACTCCGCGCGGTGGCTGGGCACGTCTGGTACCAGAGAGTCTTCCTCCGATTCGTCTCGCCCTGGTCTCTCATTGGCCTGCTATATACCATTCTTGTCCTCTTCGCCTCCCAGGGTCGCCAGGTCGTCCACCAGATCGTATCGGTGCTCCGGGTCGCCTCACCGCTCCTAGTGTATTTCCTGTTCGTCTTCTTCGTTACCCTTTGGGTCGGACGACTGCTCGGCTTCAAGTTCTCTCATATGGTGACGCAAAGTTTCACCGCCGCCAGCAACAACTTTGAGCTTGCCATAGCCGTGGCAGTGGCGACGTTCGGCCCCGACAGCGATCAGGCTTTGGCGTCTACCGTCGGCCCGCTGATTGAGGTGCCCGTCCTAATCGGCTTGGTATATACGGTTCGATGGATGGGCAATAGGTGGAATTGGAAGTAAATGAAGGGTTTCCCTCTATCGGTAGCATATGCGAAGATAATATAAGTTTAAAATGCATTAACTAGGTTGCCTATTTTGGGGCATACCACAAAATATCGCTTCTCATTAACCGGTCAAATGCCCATTCGTGGTAGACTAGGGGGAGGTGATGTGATCGAGTAAGGCAAATAGCAGTCTATGGTCCACACGGCACCCATCACCCTCGGCGACGGGTCCCCGATAGCCTGGTCGTAGCCACCGATGAATAAGCCACGGTTCGAGGCCGGCATAGTTTCGCTCCGTGATCAGTTGGTTAGCGTCGCGGCAGCGAGTAGTCGATTCCTTGGGCTTAGGCGGCGGCATGGTGCAGTATTCCTCCTCATGGTTGCCCACGGCGCCATCGTAGCCGACCCAGGTTTCGCATCTTGGTGCACATGCTAGCAACGGATCGACTAGATGGTCCGTCGGCACTAACAGCTCACTATCGCCGTGGAAGTGTCGTCGTTGCGTTGTGTGGAGAGCGCCGAGAAGTCCGCCGGCTACGATATTGCTCCTGCATGCAGTGTTCGTCACTAGGTGGTCGTCGTCTGGCTCAGAGGCACGCATGGGCTTGGGGCAGGCCTGATGCTGGGCCAACGGTGAGTGCGACGACGGGCGCGGGGGCTGTGATGATGATCGTGATGGTGGGCTGGGGTTTCGAGTGGTGGCTTCATCAGCGCGAGTCGCTGAACCCGATGCCCGGACATGCCCGAGCTCCGCAGTCAGGCGTTGAACCGTTGCCAGTGCCTGCAGCAGCTGCAACTCTGTTCCGGCGAGCTTGGACTCCAGTTGCGCGACATGACTCCTCGCCCTCTCGCGGTGGCGTCGTTGATTGTCGCGCACACGTATTCGCCTGTCGTCTGCTGACTTGCTGGACCACTTCGCAATGAGGACATCCGGGTTCACGCGGGACCGTCGATCCATCGTGTTCCGCGGGGAGAAGACAATGACGTCTCTAGAAGGGAGTCCTGATCGACGAGTTGGACTGGACAACCTTCTCAAGACACGAACCGTGAAAGGGCAAAGGTGAACGCCGACGGTTAGTTCCGTACGGGGTGGGTTTAGGGGTTCCTGTGGAACGCGGAATGAAGGTTGCGTTACTCTCTCCTGTTATTGCACCACCCCGATACTCGCCGCATTAATAACCCTGCTATTACGGTGGCGCCTCGTCTCGTTCCCGCAATCCGGCGCTAGGCCTGTGCCCTCAACAGTCCCAGTCCATGCCCTGTCGCATTTGTCAGGCTTCGGGCAGCACTAACCCACCCTGCCGAAGCATGGCTATGGCAACTAGTTCAACTCTCCCCTGTAAAAAATAATTGTTAGCAGCTGGTTAGCCGTACAGGATCCACAGGCCGCCCAACCGCGCTTTTGCTGCGGGGTCTATCGTGACCCTAACAACATAGAGGAGGATCTTAGGAGAGTTCATATTCCTCTTCGAAGCCGGTCTCGACAACACGTCCACTCGGACCTCATGGCACTCTTCGGAACCAAGGAGCTGTGGGTATCGGAAGGTCCGCCCTTATAAACAACGGTGGCTAGTCGCGGAAGTTTTTCTCCCTTAAGGCAAGCTGCGCGACAGCCTCTGATTCCTTCTGAGGGGTTTTCCCTACCGCCGCTCCTCGCTATTTCCATCGCTTGGTTACTGGAGCATGGACTGCGGCAGCAGCCTTAGCAACGAGCGAGAGACTTCTGACCGGAAAAACCAAGGGTTGACCATTGTGGCGTTGCCACGCGCCTGGAAGTCCCGCTGACGGGAGACAGGCTTCGATACGGAGCGCCGAAGAGCCTATGAAATGCTGGATGGACACTTGGGAGGACCGCCTCCGGAGATCGACCTCGACAGCTCGGTTCTGGGTGGCCTTCGGTGGCAGGAATTCTACATAGTCTAGCTCAGCACGTCCTGTGCCCCGTGATGGGGACCTGAGCAGCCTTTCGGCCGCTGGAACGGAAAATACACACACACACTAGTTATGATTCGAATTTTCCTGAAGCCAATGCGACCGACCATCTTGCAGGACGAAAAATGCCAAGGAACAGCAAGAACTCCAGTTCGATTTGCTCAATGACGAGGATGACAGTACGAACGATTACGTGGTCTGTAGCATCATTGTGGCCAATTCGACAAACGCGGCCGACGTGATGAGGACCAGCGCCCGCGGTTGACCTCTAAAACCAGCACAGCAGTTCGACCCAGAACCGCGCCCACCACGAAAGAAATCTGTCGCCACAAAGGCGAAAGCGCCGAGTGCTGGCCCTGGTGCCAACGAGGATCCAATTAGCACGAATCGAAGCTCTCCTGCAGCGCGTCGAGGAACGGGCGGAAAGTGCCGAGAAACGCGTCGAGTCTCTGGAGGAGTTCATCCGGAACGAGCTCTTCCCACGCGTCGCTAGCCCTCTGGAGCCTGCTGTTTCGAGGGCCTCACCCCAGAACCAGCATTTGCCACCGTCGCCGCCACCCAGCCAGGCATTGGATTGGACTTGAGCCGGGTCCAGGACAGCGACATCAAAGAAGGCAATGCCGGCACGGTTCGTCGGCGCGCGAACGCAGCCCTCGATCAGCCCAGCCGATCCATTAACTGGAAAATCCTTGTATTCTTCACGGAGCAGCTGCTTGTGCCCGTGCAGCCCAGAGCGACGCGGGCCCCTACAGAATCTGTCTGGTCGTGCAGCTGGACCAGGATCGCGGCGGCCACATCGCAGGACGTTTCCAAGCTCTCGGCCGGGTCTGGGGCCGGCCCAGACGGCTGTCGCGGGCAGAAGCATTCTGACACTGACGGAAGCACGTAGGGGAAAGACGAAAATGAGGCGTCCACGTCGAGGGCATCAGCCGCCTCCACACGATGTCTATCCCTATATTGCCAATGGCAGTGCTCGTCCGTATCTCTCTCGCGCTCTTCCTCGTTGCTCGAGTCCCGCAATGAAGCCCGAGGAGATGCTGTCGGGGTCATCGTGGGCGCTTCTAGATAAGACTTCGCGGCGGCTGTGTGATGGGAGGGTGGAGACGATGAGGGAGGTGGCACGGGCGGCGGATGAAAAGCCCGGATCATACTCACCTCGGACAATATAGATTCCTTCCGATGCGGCTGTTGTAGTTGTCGTCGGTATGGTAGTCGGGGGCGCTGGTCCTCCGACAAGTCACGAACCTCTCCAGCTCGGCCAGTCGCTTCAGGAGTTAGCCCGCGCCTCTTCGCTCTGGGGTCGCTAATGGAAGTTCCGCCGGCCGAAGGTACATGCGAGGCCAGGTATGAGTTAACTTGGTCGTGCGAAACGCCGTTTAGCTCAAGCAGGACTCTCAGTTGCCTGTTCTCAGCATTTACTGCCCTGGCCGCCGCCTGTATCTCGAGGGAAGCCGCCGCCTCCCGGCGCTCGTATTCATTTAGTCGCCTTTTCAGGTCGTCGACAAGCTCCCTACGCCGGGCCCGCGACTGCCGCTGGCTTTCACGGTTCTGAACCACCGATGCAGCTGTCTTGAACTAAAGCCCATAGATTATCAGACAGTGCTGCGTGTATCCACACGGGAATGGCCGTTCCTACCTTTCTAGGCATTGCTTGTACTCAATCCCATTGTGGGCCAAACCATCTGCCCCACGAATGCGTTTCTGTTGCTCTGGGGCGAGAGATTTTCGAACTGGGAGAGCGACCTGGGAGTTTACCCAAGCGCAATTGCCCGTGTACCACGACGCGGCACGATTATGTGATGCGTGTGCAGCTGCTTGTCGAGGAGTCGAGAACAAAATGGCGCCGCTGTTCTCTGCTTTGGAGGTGTCGGACGTCATAATTAATTACCAAGTCGGTGTTCTGCAACGGACCAATTCAGTCGGGATGCTGTCTACGCACGGTGGAGCGTAAATTACATACCGAGAATTAGGTACGTCAACGAGTGCCATTTCACACCGTTCTAATGATTGGCTAGTTACGGCGACCCAGCAGCCTCACGCTCCTCATAAATGCATGTGAGTATTATTTTGCGACCTGTCTCTGTCATCCGCAGGGTCGAACGAGCTGCACAACAGAGGCTACCTTATCGCCAACTTGGAATCGTGTACTTCGTACTTAATGGAGTCAGAAGTCGATTTTTACGGCGATCAAGGTCTTGATTCGGATAAGGCGAATGATACGATGGAGGAAAGGGACGGGTTGGCTCCGGACAGAACAGGTTCGGACAGACAGATTACAGGGATTATCGCGCCAAGCATGGGTTGCCATTGCGCCTTGGCTACAGCCCAAATAGGATAACCGTCAATAGCCGCAATTAGAATCGCGTTTTTCAACGGATCTAAGTTCAGTGGAGATCCAGCATTAAGGTTACTCTCAAGCAGTGGCTTGAGAGCACAGTGGAAGAAATAGGGGCACAGAAAGGTGAATTTAGTGATGCATGTCTTGGTCTATCTATTGGGACAAGGGAGGGGCTTATATAGGTACAGTGACCACACATAGCTAGCTAAAAGAGGGCAATAGGATATTCCTATACCTAAGTCAGGCCTATATAGTGTCCTTGGGCTAGGGGAGTCATGTTATTTAGGCAGGCTTCCTTATATATGACTATTGGGTCTACTAAGCATAACTATGGCCTCTTATGCCTACTCTCTCTCCTCAACACACCCCCTTATTACACTAGCTTCTAGATAGTGGGGCAATAGGTAGAGGAGGGTTCGGTCTAATAAATATAAGGTTATTCCGATATTAAATTCGGCTACTTTATTATCTATTTAAGGAGGTTGTCTAAAAATAGGGGAGGCTCCTAATTATATCTTATAAAAAAGGGAAGGTAAATATAGTAAAAGGCAAAAGCCGGGACCCGAGAGGATAGGATATAAGGAGAACCCTCCTCCGTATATCCTATCTCCTCGGGCCCCTAAGTTCGTTTAACCGCGCCCCCCCTAGGGCGTAGTTATATAACCTGCTCTTCCGCCCTAAGGGAAGTCGAACTTACGATTAATAGGGTTATATAACCTACTCTTACCGTTTAACTAGTAGTTATAAGTTATATTTATAACCTTCCTTATAAGGAGGGGGCATAGCAGGGCATCCCTTTAGGTAGCCTAGGTACTATAGTACCTTTACCGGCGACGTTATTATTTAGGATAAAAGTAATCCTAAAGGTAGGCTTTCTAATAATATATTCCTTATATTAATTAGTCTTAATTTAGTAAAGCTATCGCGATTATCATAAGTTTAAGCGCTATAGTATTATACTAATTAAGGGGTGGTCTAGTAATAGCTTTACTTCTTAATAGTAAATAGGGCTAACTTCTACCCCCTAGATCTTTATAGTTTCTTAACTAAATTAAGATCTAACTACGCCGTTAGAATCCCTTAATCTTAGTATATATAGTAGTGCTCTTATTATCGGGATCCGGCGATTATCGAGTTCGCTATAGTAGGGAGACATTACGCCTTAATACGGTGGTTAGGTATATTATCTCTTAATATATCTTCCGGCCGTATTACTAGTCCTAGTTGCTTAATAAAGCTCTAATACTTCTAGTATATAAGCGCCTTCGTTATGCTATTAGCTAGGTTATCTACTAATGCGATCTAGCTAACTTATATCCGATCTTACTATACCTCCTAACGAAGCTAGTGTCTATAAACGTTAATATACTTAAGGTTCGTCTTAAGCTTCGCGCTTAATTTAGTTAGAAGCCTAATAGTCTAAAGGTTATTATACTAGAGCTCTATAGTCCCTTTAATACTAATACTAAGCTCCTTAATTAGTCGGCTAAATACTACCTATTCCTTAGCTATCTATAAGAGTACTAATAATTTAGCTTTTATAGAGGACGTTATTATAGTAGCTTACTTAGTAGCTTTCTAGTTAATTAGCCTACTAAGGAGTAGGAATACGTATCCTTATAAGGACTTCCTAGTCTCTAGGTTATTGGCGTATAAGGAGTCGGATATATATATTAGCCGCCTTATTA